AAAAATCTAATTCATTTAAGCTTTTATATTTGTTCTTGTATTAGCATATGTGTTTGTGCAGTGTGAACTCTACCTCAACTCCGAAGAAAAAATAAAAATAAAAATTAGAGGGTGCATTTGCTAACGCATGGGTTGGGAATCTCTTAATTATATTTAACTTTTCAAACTGACTTCAAAAGCACCAGATTAATACGCCAACATGAAATATAGTTTATCGAGCCTCTATTAGTGTAAAAGGACTGTGACTGCATTAGCTAAAAATGCTTTAGAGGAAGGATCGACTTCCAGTTCATTGAGATCCCTTTCACTATAAAAACCAGGTTTTTGAGGTTGAGGCGATGAGCCTTTTCACAGCTATTTCTTGTCCATCTTTTAATGTACCCTGAAATCCATTAGCCATATATGATGACCAAAATCCGTACTCTGTTGTTTGCAAACGTTCAATATACGACTTGTATCCATAGTCCCTACCCAAATGACATGTGGAAGCTGTCAAGCCAACTGTAGGGAGGACTATATTTGATTTTACCTTAAAGACTGATCCGAAACCACCTTCTCCAAGTTTATTTTTGTTTGAAAAGTTTTTAGTTGCATGAACAAGAGCAGCTTGAAAGTTAAAAAGAGTATAGCCGTGCGGCTATACTATGTATATCTTTAAAAAAAAGGACGCTCCCAGCCCCTAGGTGGCACGTGTCAAAAGAGCACAGACTTTTTTTTTAAAGGGAAAACGAGTACAGCCGGACGGCTACACGATTTTTTTAAATGATTAGCCGACCGGCTATACTATTTTATATATATATATATATAAATATAAATATAAATATAAAGACCAGCACGGCTAAACTATATTTTTGAAAAACAATTAGGCAAAACTGAGTACAACCGTGCGGCTATACCCTTTTTTACAGGTATATATTATTTTTATTCAGTAATACATGTATATACGTGAATTTTGTGTGTCTTACTGAATTTTTTGTGAAAAATGCGTATTACACATGAGAAATACGAGCGTACGTGTATTATACATTATCAACCGTGAAAATGCTTAAATCTTTATACGGGTAATAACTTCGGATAAGTAAAAAATCAAAAAGGGACGATAGATACTCGAGTAATGACAGAATAATAATGGGTAGGACTCTTGGGCTATGGAGAAATTGAATTAAGACACCCAAACGATTTCACAAAAGACTTAATAAATAGAAATTAATTAATTTGTGTTCTTTTTCTTCAATCTCTTTACATTAAATAATAATTAAAATATAATTACTAAGCAAAGTGATTAAAAAAGGCTAAGATATCACTTGATTACGTATAGTAAATTAAAGAAGTAGGCCAAAAAACAAAAGTAAAGAAACATATTTTTCATTTTTTTTAATATTGAAAGTTAAAAAATAGTATAGCCGTGCGGCTAGACTAAGTATATCTTAAAAAATGACGTTCTCAGCCCTAGGTGCCACGTGTCAAAAGAGTAAAGGGTATTTTTTTTTAAATATAAAAAAAGACGAGTACAGCCGAGCGGATATACTATTTTTTAAATTTTAAAAACGTATAGCCGGCCGGCTATACTAATAGACCAGCTCATGGCCTAAGCCCACGTGTCAAAGAGGTAACGCCGGCCGGCTATACTATTTTTTATGCAAAAACGTGCATAGCCGCACGGCTATACGATCCCTTTGAAAAACAATTAGGGAAAACTGAGTACCCTTTTTGTACCTTTTTTAAAGGTATATATTATTTTTATTCAATAATACGTGTATAATATGTGAATTTTGTGTGTCTTACTGAATTTTTTGTTAAAAATACGTGTATTAAACATGAAAAATATGTGCGTACGTGTATAATACATTATTAAACGTGAAAGTGCTAAAATCTTTATACGGGTAATAACTTTGGAAAAGTAAAAAATTAAAAAGGGACGATAGATACTCGAATAATGGCATAATAGTAATGGATAGAGTTCTTGGGCTATGGAGAAATTGAATTAAGACACCCAAATGATTTCACAAAAGGCTTAATAAATAGAAATTAATTACTTTGTGTTCTTTTTCTTCAATCTCTTTACATTAAATAATAATTCAAATATAATTACTAAGCAAAGTTATTAAAAAAAAGGCTAAGATATTACTTGATTACGTATAGTAAATTAAAGAAGTAGGCCAAAAAACAAAAGTAAAGAAAAATATTTTATTAGTATAGCCGCACGGCTATACTATGTATATGTAGGTGCCACGTGTCAAAAGTGTAAGTGCTATTTTTTAAAAAAAAAAAATTAGGGGAAAACTAGTACTGCCGCACCGCAAAACTCCAAAACAAACTAAACAAACAGACACAACACCACAACCTTAAAGAATATTTGTATGAGTGCAAACTCTGCCAACAATGCTCGTATACAAAACTAGTTTCTATCTTCATATGTCAAATTAAAATCCACATAGACAAAGAAGATTGAATATATACTTTCTTACTGCAAAAGTTTTTATGGCTATGAAGTCATAATGACAGCAACCTATAGTTTCTCAACTATTGCTTACAAATTATGAATACTTTGTTTTTTCAAAGTACAGTTAACTTCACTCTATAATTTATATATCAAACTCGACTGAAGCTAAATCAAACAGTAATAATACACTAATACAAGGCTACAATGTAATTTTTTTTAGAATTTTTTAGCTTAAATTAGAGTGAATCTTTACATACTGAAAAAAATTGTGTACATTACCTTGAGCTTTTTCCACAACAACACACTTAACAATTAAAGTCACCAACAGTTAAAGGCAACTTACCCCAGCAATATGTATTAACAGCACAGAAAGAATAACCACCCCAATTTCTCCAGATAACACTGTCTGAGCATGAGCCATTAGAGACAAATCAGCCTGCAATGTTACAGCAACCATTGAAGCTTTGAGACGGACAACATTCTCGGAGAATACACTGGCCCACAAAATGAAATCTAGTATATATGTTTGAGAAAGAGAGCACATTTGGAAGGAACCACAGGCAAGACAATCATATTTTACATATAAGTAATTAAAAGATATTTTTTGGAAGGAACCACAGGCAAGACAATCATATTTTACATATAAGTAACTAGAAGATATTTATATGCACAACAAATGTACCTGCATGCAAGCAGTGATGCAGCTAGAACAGCAAAAAGTGGTGCAAAAGGTATCACAATTTTAACCACTGCAGGAAATGCACTCTGCATATAAGAACCTAACAAATTGGAGCAACAACGACCTACAGATGACAGAATAGAGACCATAAGCCCCAGCTGATGGATAGTATAATATTACTGAAGTTTATTATATTTACCTACTTAACCTGCATGGTGCTGATTGACAGTTTGGCAGCATCCACAGGGATGTAAGTCCCTGCCAATATCTTTGTTAGTAGAGGAGGCAGGGCTACTGCCCCAAGAGTTGTGCATACCGTCATTACAATCCACAGAGGAAATGGACTATCTGACCATGCCCCAGGCATTATTCAGTTGAATCACTCAGTGCAGGTGCAGCACAGCCATAAACCTTAAAAAAGCATTTAATGGAGTTGAATAACTTGCCTAGGCGGCCTAGGCAGGGTCTAGGCGGGCGCTAGGCTGGCCAGGTGGGGGCTGGGCGGGATAGGCGGGGGCTAGATGAGGGCTAGGCGGGCTAGGCTGGGGCTAGGCGGGGGCTAGGCG